ACTTGTATAACTTTCTTCCTTTCTCCAGGTTCATAGGGTTTCCAGAGGCAAGCCATTTCGGAAGTGGATGCCACTCCTGCTTCCAAGCTTGTTTTAATCGGGGAGCTCCACCAAACACTGTACCATGCGTGGGTAACTGTTAACACGTTTAACACATCAGTGTCTGTTCTCTATTTGTTAGGACCCTGTGTAGGAGTTTTGCAGTTCCTCCTGTTGCAGTTGCTCCTGTGCTTGAGGCCTTTGTTGTAACACTCATAAGAATTTTCCTCTTTTCCTCCAAAAACCCTCTACTTCTTTTTTCTCTCTTTAAGATCAGGGAGTTACTTACTTCCTGACTTGCCAACTGAAGGCAGGGCACTAGGCCCTTTCCCTTCCCCACCCCTCCTTTATTCCACCAGTTACCTACGCCATCTTAAATCTTCTGTCTCTTCTGGTGTTAGTGCCAAGAAACTTGCCTTTCCCTGGGGACCATCTTTTCAAAAAAGTTTTGACTAGTACTCCTGGAGAGGAAGGGCTTAAGTGAACAATTGTGTGGAACAGCTGAGATTCAGAGTCAACCTTAGAGGCAGTAGGGGGCCGGGGTGGATTGTTTAATGTTCATATAAAGCAGAACATCAGCTGATATTCTTATATGTTAGACTTAACCCAGTTAAACTATTGATACAGCTTATATAACAGCTGTGGTGTCACACAGATTTTTAAATCTAGAGACATGAATAGATTCCTGCCTCAGCTGTTTTCTAGCTGTGACATTTGGGGCAAGTTGAATTTTTTTGTTGTTGTTGGCAAATTGATTTTTGTGTTCTAACACTTCCAGGGTATTGAAATTAGTAAGTTAATGTGGGAATACTTTTTAATTAAATGCTAAGAAGAAACTATTGTTACTTAGGTTTTTGCTTCTAGTAGCTCAGCATTTATTGTGTTTCAGTTGGAACCAGCCCATAGCTGACCTTTGGCAGATTTTCAGAGGCTGTAGATCACATGGGAGGTTGTCCATCTTTCTCCTAAGCGCCATCTGGTGGATTCAAACCACCTGTCTTAGGGTTGGCTGCGCAACTCTTTACCCACAAACATTCTGTAAACATTGGCCTGTGATGGAACGTTGTTAGTCTGATGACTTAGTTGCTTCCAAAGGGGAAACAGTATGAGTTTCTTCAACTCTTCTGCCCTTCACTATCTGTCACTGTATCCCTGTCTCCTAGACCTGCCTTCCACATAACCATCACCCATTCTGATTGTACTGGACTTTGGTCACTTTAGTCACTTGTGTTCAGTAAAAATAATTTTCCTTGCTGAAAAGCATTTGGGCTTTGGAATGCTTTCCTTTCCATTCTTCATAGCTGGATCTTTATAATTTTCTTTTTAGGTCAGAGAGTTACTTCTTTCTTCCAGACTGAGGAAGGGGGAGCCGTGAAGCCTTTCCAAGGCCAGCTTCTCTTCTTTTGTTTCCCTCTTAATTTTTTCCCCCATGTTAGCATGTTAGACAGGTATTGTGCTGATATCATAACAAGGCGTAAGGAAGGCAGATGTCATACAAAAGAATAAACACCCAGTCATCACCTTTATGAAACGAAAAAAGAGCTGTTTCCTTTTTTATCCCCAAACACCAGCACTATTTCCTTTGTTTCTCCAGCCTCTTCTCTGACAGTCAACGCCATTCCTTGATCTAACAAGTATATTCCAGTCTCAGCTCTAAAATAGCCTTTCGAAGCTTACTTCCCTATTGTCACATAATCATTTTCTCAAATAGACTCCTTCAAAGAATCATTGCTTCTCCTGTCTTAATTTCCATTCATTCCCAGTCCATTATCATTTATGATCTGATCTTCATCATTATGCTTTTATAAGAACCTTGTCATTGCCAAATTCAGTCTCAGTGCTTATCTTTTCTTACTGTTGATGAATTTGTTCCTCCTTCAACATCCAAAAAATGTAATAGTTATTGGTTTGATTTGGTTTTTCTCTCCTCCATCCCCCATCGTTCTCATAATCTCTTTTGTCTCCCATTATCTGTTCATTATGTGTAGGGGTTTTTTTCCACAGTTACCCTTAGGTTATCTCCATATTTTTCTATAATTGTCTACATAAATGACTAACAAGTTCAGACTGTTCCTGTGTCCAATCAGTGCTTTGTCCTTGAAATTTCATTCATTTCCATAGATATATGAACTAGTGACTTTTTCTTTCTTCCAAGTTTGAAATGTGTTACAGACTCTGGATGCTGAAACTTCAGATTTGCTCATCTCCCAAACATAAAGCATCTCTCCTCTCCTCCAGCCTGTTCCTCTTCTGGTGTTGCCTATTTCGTTCTACCACCATCTTTTTATTTCTGGTGGTAGAAACATCAGAGTCATCCTTGACTCTTTCTTGACCACTCTCATCTCATTGCCACAAAGTTCTGTCATTTCCACTTCTCAAATATCTTTCTCATGCATTTCTTATTTTTCATCACCATTCTTTCAGATGTCTTAAAAATGAGACATAGTCTATGTATGTGACTTCCTCCAGTTCAGCAGTTTTTATTATTCTCTACTGCCTGCAAATTAAAGTCTAAAAACCTTGGCATAAGATACAAAATTCTTCACAACTGATTCTCGAGATACCTCAGGAATGTTCCCTAGTTTTCTGAATAGATCTTACTCTTCTCTTTCTCTTACGTCTGTTCCTGCTGTCTTTACAGGAAGCCTCTTACTTTCCATTAATTTTTATTGTTTGAAGCCCATTCATACTCCATTCTTTATTCTTTTTGTCATTTGTTTATTTTTTTTTCATTGTCTTTCTCTCCACCATTTTAACTGTTTTTTTTCTCTCCTCTCCTTTTGCATCCTTGTTAACTACTGACAGAACAGCTGATGGATACAAAGTGCTTGCCTTTAGGTTGGCAGCACAACTCCCTACCCATCAGACCACCAGAATGCCATACTTATTACTAGCTGTGACTGTTTTCGCTCTTGTCATAGGATGCTAATGTGGTGACTGTGAGAATGAAATGTAAAACACACATAATTAATAGTAGTAATGCTCAAAGTAGTAGTTATGCCCTGTAGTAAAAAAGAGGGACAGGAGTGGAGTATTCTCAGAGATTTTCCTAATAAGTCAAGTTAATGATATCTTACTATCAGCAGTTACTGTCAATCTACTTTCATCTCCTGGTTACTACAGAGGGAATAGTTTCTAGGGAGTTGTACTGAAAACCAAAGGCGGCTAATCATTCTGGTGATTCACATCCACCATCCACTCTATGGGAGAAAGATGAACAGTCTCCCTTGTAGTTTGTAGCCTTGGAAAACCTCCTGGAGAATCAGCTGTGACTTGGTTCCAACTCAACAGCAATGAATTTTTCTGATATTTACTTCAAGTAAAGAGCAGGAGGCTATGTAGGCAGATGACACAACCCTGCTTGCCGTAACTGAGGAGGACCTGAAGTGCTTGCTGCAGAATGTCAAGGACTGCAGCTTTCAATATGGATTGAAGCTCAGCATCAAGAAAACCAAGATTCTCACAACCGGGCCAATTGGCAGTGTCATGATGGATGGGTGAAGAGAGTGAGATTGTAAATAGCTTTAGTTTGCTTGGCTGTACAATCAACACTCTTAGCACCAGCAGACAGGAAATTAAAAGATGGATTGTATTGGGAAAGTCTGCTGTCAGAGACCTCTCCAAACTACTGAAGAGCAACAGTGTCATTCTGGATACTAAGATGTGCCTGATACAGGCCATGGTCTTTGCCATTACTTGCTATGGATCAGAGAGGTGGACAAGGACCAGGAATGATAGAAGGAGAGTTGATACCTTTGAGCTGTGGTGTTGGAGAAGAGTATTGACTATACCATGGACTGCTAGGAGAACAAATAGGTTTGTCCTGGGGAGGGTGAAGCCATGCTGCTCCTTGGAGGCAAGGGTTCTGAAGCTCCATCTGACATACTTTGGACATGTTGCAAGGAGGGATCAGTCCTTGGAGAGGGATGTCATGCTTGGGAGGGTGGAGGGACAGCACAGGAAAAGAAGACCCTTGATGAGATCGATTTATTCATTGACTGGGGTAATGGGGTTAGGTGTGTCAGAGACAGTAAGATTGGCAAGGGATAGAGGAGGGTTTGGGCCTGTTGTACTTAGGGTCGCTATAAGTTGCAGGCGACTCAATGGCACACAAAAACAATCACAATCTAAACCTAACTCACGCTCATCATGTTGATTCATAATAGGAATACCAGTGTTCCTGAACTTATTATAATAGGAGAAGAGACAACTTGCATAATAGAAAAAAGGTGAAGTGAAGGTAAAGATAAAGGTAGTGAAATGGTTTCTGCACTATGAAGCTGAGGAAAGTAGTAGCGAAGAAAGGTTCAGATTTCTTCGTTCAGTAAGTTACCACTCTTACTCTTGGTTTTTCACTCTTATTCTGTGCTAGACACTAAGGGAGAAGGATCAGGCTGGCCACTGGGATTGTTTGTAGGCTTACAAGCAATTTTTTTAACTGAAATTTCTTTTTAGGTAGTTGTAAATCATCTGTAATTCTAAGAAATAATACAGAGAGATCTCTAGTACTTCATTATGAGAATTTTAAAGTGTTATTAATGTTGAAGATAAAACAGTTCCTTGCCTATCAGAAATCATGGATAGGAAATACGTGATGAATTTTTTAAAAGTATGATTACTGAGCTAGCCCGTGCAGAAATCGTGCAAAAGTTAGTCTTTAAGCCAGACCTCCCAAGAGGAGTAGGATTGTATCAGCTTGAGACTGGAAGGGAAAGAGGAGGTAAGCCAAGGCCAAGTCGGGGGAGGACACTGATGCATCACAGAATGAAGTAGCATTCTGGACATTTCAGCTTTACACTTCTGAAAGTTGATTTCCCCCTTGTCTCAAGTTCTTAGAACTCGGGTAATGACGGACCTGGATTTAATCCCAGGTCTAATTGTTACATGTTTCTGCTTTTGACATAGAATATTTTTATTTTTAAGAGAGCCTGGCATGTTGAAAGAGGTTTTTTTGTTTCTAGAATGACACCAGAGAACGGCAGCGTCATGAGCACAGTGAGAGGCGGCGGCATGGCAACCCAGAGCCGATATCAAATGGACAGCCCCAGGGTCACACGCGGCAGGTGGTGGAGCAAGATGAAGAAGACGATGAAGAGCTGACATTGAAATACGGCGCCAAACATGTCATCATGCTCTTCGTTCCAGTGACTCTCTGCATGGTGGTGGTTGTGGCTACCATCAAATCTGTCAGCTTTTATACTCGCAAGGATGGGCAGCTGTATGTATGAACATTTTGTTTTATTATTCTCAGAGCTAACATACCTTTCCTTCATAATATGCCATCATCACATTGAAAGATTCTGCATTAAAGGGCTTGAGGACCCAAGGATCTGGCTTCTCTGATGGTCAGAAGCAGTTAAGAGAGTGAGGGATCATTTATTACTTGATGCATTAGGGGAGAAAACCAAAGATGCAGAGTTACTTTTCCTGGGAAATATCACTAGGCAGACCTAAATTTATTGGGAATTGAGTAAATAAAGCATGGAGTGGAGATCTTTACTACTTCAGTGTTGCTGAGACCATTGCCTAGAATGGGCTTTCCTTGTGAAATTTTGCTAGGTAAATTACTTCCCTTACCCATTTTGGATTAAATATTAAGTCCTCATAGATAATTAATTTGCCTTATCCTCCAAATAGAATGAATCCTTCCTGGTATTCTTTGTCATAGCAACCTGCTCTTTTTCACGTATCCCAATTTGCAAACAGTAAACTTATTTGTGTTATTTAATTCCTAATTTTCCTTGCAGACTATAAGCTACAGGAGAGTACTTTCTCATCAGGGCAGGCACATCATAAATATTCAGTATATCCTTAAAGGAAGAATAAATTAATGCATGCTGCCACTCTGTGGACTCTTAAGGGCAGTTTAGATTCACTGACGTCTATGAGAACAGTGTTTTCGTTTAAATTTAGAATTTTACTCTTAATTCTGCCCCTAGCTTAATGTCCAAAAAACTATGTGGTGTTCTGAAAGCCAAGATTTAAACCTTGTAGCGTATAGGCCAAACCAGTAAATGAAGAACAAGTATTAGAGACAGTAGCCTGAAGTCATGTTTGGTTTGATTACAGAACAGAAATCAACAAGCCTGGCCTACCAATTGTTTTTATAAATAAAGCTTTATTGGAACATGATCATGCTCATTCATTTATATATTACCTATATTTTCCCTTTAAACAATGGGTTCCTGATGTCTATTACAGAAAATAAAAATGGCTAATTTAAATGTTACTCATGTAATTTATATCTTTCCTAAAGAGAAGGTAGTTAATCTGGATTGGTAGAACAGTGTCAAATCATAAATGACTCTTTGGTTTCTGTCTTACGTATCATTTTAAGGTCAAGTATGACTGCTGGAACCCAACCTTTATTCCAAGACCAGAAAAGGGGGCAAGAGTTGATGAAAAGACACAGGACACACCTCAGCAAAATTCATTTCTTTCCTAGAAATTCCTCACAATACCTCTTCTTATATCTCAGTTGATTTGTACTTAGATTCATGGACTCACCTAATTGTGAGGAATTGAGAATTGATGTCTTAAGCTTGGGAACATAATCTAGTCTCATGGGACAAATCAGTCAGTTGGCATGACAAGGTTCATAATGATGATGCTCTGTGTCCTATTTAGAGTAGGTAAGTAGTATCTGAGGTCTTAAAGGCTTGCAAGCGGCCATTTTAAGATATAGTTGCTGGTCTCTTCTCTCTTAGAGCAGAAGATAATAAAAGAAAACCAAAGACTCAGAGCAGAAACTAGTTCAGTCCATCTAAACCACGATCTCTTCTAGCGTAAGAACTAGTTGGTGCTTGCTCCCACAATGAATATTTTAACGAGGGACACAGTAGTAGGTCCTTTGTAGAATGGAGGAAAAATGTAGTACAGAATTCAGAGTCCTATAAAATACATGGAACTGACAAAGTAGAGAAATTCTGAAACTAAAATACCCTTTGAAATTGGAATTGAAGTTGTTCCTGGAGATCACCTTTAGCCAAATAATAGATTGGCTTATTAATCAATAATATTGTCCTTGAGGAATCATCTATTTGATACCAAATACAGAGGCAACAGGGAAAAGACAAAAGAGGGACAGGGAAGCTGTATCAGTGGACACAAACAGCCAGAATGAGAATGCTGGCATATTATAAAAATTGTAATGAATGTCACAGAACAGTTTGTATAAAAATTGTTATGACATGCCATGTAAACTTAAAACTTGGGGAGGGGTGTATATATATGTATATATCCCTTTTGTTTAAAAGTCGATTGGATCCGAGGGTCTAGTGTTATTTTATTTTGGTGGGACATAAGTTGTGCAACACTACTCAGTCAGTTTTCTGCACTGAGGTAATCTGGGCTTGTTGTGATGCTGAACCTTGTGTCATTGGGGGGTCAAATGCCGTAATAACTCCCATGGTGGACAGTGTTTGGTGGAGCTCCCAGTTTAAGATAGATTTGGAAGCAAGAGTGGCATCTACTTCCTAAACCACATGCCTCTAGAAACTCGGTGAAGTCGGAGAAACGATGGTAGTTATAGAAAGGCTTTAAGCCTTTGGTTCATCGGGTTGCTATGAGTCGTCCTTGGCTCAATGGCAGTAAACAACAACATGTAAACTTATGTACATTGAAGACACAATAAAATATTTTTTTAATGGAATTATTTTAGCTGAGACCAATGACACCTAGACTACAAGTGTTCTTATATAAACAAGAAACAAAGATAGTTATGTGATGTTATATCAGTACAACACTAGTCACAGTCACCTTGTAAATGAAAGAAGATAATTAGAAGCACTATTGCCTCCTCTGCAACCATTTAAAGACTAGGTAGTTTATGTAGAAGAATCTGGCTCTTGATAAAGTCACTGATAAGCTGCAGAGAAACAGCGTTTGGCAAGGTAATTATTTAACATAAAGCATCCACTAGATGGAGCTAGTGTCTGACTCACGTGAAGTCTGTTCTCAATATTTCTAGAGATTGTTTTTGAAGCAGTTATTTTTTAGTATAACTACAGAGGGTCAAGGATTGCAGCCTTCAATATGGATTGAGACTCAAATGTCAAGGCAAAGACCACTGGACCAATTGGCAGCATCAGGATGGGTGGTGAAGAGATTGAGATTGTTCACAGCTTTAGTTTGCTTGGTTCCACAGTCAACACCAGGAGCCAGGAAATTAAAAGACGTATTGCAATGGGAAAGTCTGCTGTTAGGGACCTCTCCAAAGTACTGAAGAGCAATAGTGTCTCTGGAGACTAAGGTGCATCTGATACAGGCCATGGCCTTTACAATCACTTGTTATGCGTCAGAGAGTTGGACAATGACTAGGGAGGAAAAAAGGAGAATTGATGCCTCTGAGTTGTGGTGCTGGAAAAGAGTATTGAGTGTACCATGGACTACTAAGAAAACAACAGATTGATCCTGGAGAGGGTTAAACTGGGCGACTCCTTGGAGGCTAGGATTCTGAGGCTTCGTCTGACATACTTTGGGCATGTTATAAGGAGGGACTGGTCCTTGGAGAGGGACATCATGCTTGGGAGGGTGGAGGGACAGTGCAGCCAGGGAAGACCTTCTATGAGGTGGATTGATTCAGTGACTGAGGTAATTGGGCTGGGTGTATTGGAGACAGTGCGAGTGGCACAGGACAAAGCAGGGTTTAGGGCTGTACATAGGGTCACTATGAGTCGCAAGAGACTTGACGGAGCATAACAACAACAAACATTTTCTTATGTAGAAAATTCTTGATTATAATTTTTTTTTTTTATTATAATTTTGAAAGTGACTTAAGTGTTAGTTGAGGTGGATCGGCACAAGGCAAGGTCAGAAAAGGGGGCCGCTGCTCCTCTATACTATAAAACAAACAGAAAGAAGTGTTAGTTGAAGCAGGTTAAAACTCTGGTGTTGCAAGTAGTCTAAGGTAGCCAATAACCCTTGTCTGTGATTGTGTTTTGTTTTCTTCTAGAATTTATACACCATTCACAGAAGACACCGAGACTGTGGGTCAAAGAGCCCTCCACTCGATTCTGAATGCCACCATCATGATCAGTGTCATTGTCGTCATGACCATCCTCCTGGTGGTTCTGTACAAATACAGGTGCTATAAGGTGAGCGTGAGACACAGCTCTCGTTACCCTGGTTTCATTCTGTTATTGTCTTTTCCCATCACAAGTAACTTCCTTGGATTAATAAATAGTAAGGTTTTATATTCTTTTTTTTTATTAGTCCATCCTTTATAAAACATATTAAAGGGAATTATTCAGAAGGAAGAAGGTATCACTTGGAAATATAGATTTATACAAAGCAATGGAGAGTACTGTGAATAAGTACATTAGATGAAGACATAAGATTTTTTTCCTTATTCTTTAAATCTAATCAAAAGATATTTGTTTAAACCAAAGAATATAAAAATATAGTGTGGGATATATTACATATATAAACATAGAATATATGACAACAATCCAACAAAACTGAGAGAGAAATAGAAGTACACTATTATAAGACAGTGAATGTGAAGTGATGTAACACAAGTTAAATACATGTGATATGAACCCAAAGTCAATGACTAAAACAGTAAAAGAAAGAATTATAGAAAGATCATACACTTAAACCTATTATCCATACTGAAAACCACATTAAATTTAAATGGTCTTGCTACTCCAACAAAAATCAAATGAGATATAGGAATGGTAGTATAAAACAAAAAGTCTTGGGAGCTCTGGTGGCCTAGTGGCAAGGAGCTGCAACTACAATCCCAGAGGCGAACGGTTCGAATCCACCAGATGCTCTGCCGGGGAAGGAGGGACAATCTCCTCCTGTACCAGTCAGATCTGATTTGACGGTACACACACACACAAAAATAATAAAATTTTAAAAAAAAACTAAACCAAAAAAACAACAAAAAGTCTTTCATTAAAATCACAATCAAAATAAAACATTAAAAAACCCAAAATGCATGTCAGTGAAACACGAAGTAAATGAAAGAGTTTAGAAAACACAGTATACATGAATGAAATACAATGTATATGAATGATTAGATGCAAACCAATAAAACATTTTAAAAAATCAGATGAGATAAAAAGACAATCCCACTCTAACAAAACACACAACACCCAAGTAGATTAAAATTAAAAGCATGGGAAAAGGTATATCATGATATCACAAATAAAGTATGGATGAGTAAATTTTGTTGGGGGGTTTTTTGTTTTGTTTTTTTTTTTTATTTTGTCGTTTTATTTAAATTTATTATTAATTTCAGTAAAAATTTGCAGAGACTTTGGATTTCCATTCATTCATTGTTGTACTTTTCTCCCCTCCCAAACCTTCCCCCTAGTACACTACCCTCTTGGAAAAGTAAAAGAAAAATTTTTTCATTGTTTTACAAACCCTCTCCTAGTTCCACTCCACCATGTAGCCTTCGCTCTAGACTTCTGTCATGACAAAAATACCTGATCACATATCCCTTTTAAACAGTTTTCTCCTTCATATGTTTCAATGCAGTATACAGTATATCCGTCTTTCTCAGTCTCTCCTCAACCCCAAGGTCAGTCCTGTTTTACAACAGTGGTACCATGCAGTATTTGTTCTTTTTTGACTGAGATACTTCACTCAGCATAATGTCCTCCAGAGTC